ATTGTCCTTCTGTGTTGTGCTTGACAAAGTTGTGAAAACAGTCATCCAAAACTAAACCGCAAGATCCCACCAGAAGTGCTGCCACCCAAATTGAGTACACCACCATGCACTCTCCATTCTCGCGATATGGACGTCCACAGCGGCTTAGACTACGTAGAACTTTCTCCGAAATTTAGCAAAGCTCACCTTTCTGGCAAATTTTCTTAGAAAAGAGATGCGGATGGATTTCCACATGATGAGATTCTTAGGGGTGCTGTGGTGAATGGAAAACAACTGGGAGGCAGGAAGCAGTTTCTCTTAACGACCCCCCCCCCGTTAATCAACGTGTTTTGACTGTTTTGACCATTAGAAGGAAGGGGTCTCCCAGTATCATCGTGCCATTTTGTTTGTTTCGTATCGATTTCCTATCCGTCCTTTGACCTGTTTCCCAGGTGCTGGGTGGGCGAGAGGAGACGGGGACGGTGTTTGAAGCATTGCATCAGAATGGCGGAATCCTTCCTACGCTTACCTATACTCCCATATCCTCTCTTACTATGTCCCTTTAAGCTCTCAACAACTTAAGTATAACCTCCCTCGAACTTTCAGACCCCTGCTCTCCGCTGTAGAGCTCTCTTCTCTCCTACAAAGCGCCTCTGATTCCTGTTGAGGGCTTAGTGAAACCTTGTTGGAAAGAGGAGAGTTCGCTCGAGAGAAGTCTACAACCAATAGGTAGCTATGTGGTAATCGAGCTTTCTCAACAAAATATTCTCCTTTCAGAGAACGGGACGGCACTAAAGGGAGGAGTTCCTGCGAGAACGGATCACAAAAACAATTTCAGACCTGAGATGATCTTTCTCTTTTACGTCGGGACCAACCTCAGCGCTGATTCCTCGACCTGATCCATGTGACGGAGTATTTTCCAGCGATGACGACGAACTAGACAGTGATGCATGTTCGCTGATCGGTCGCAGTTTCGGAATCTCGGAAAGTTTTGCTTCGAAACGGTCCTTCACATGAAACAATCGCCCTGAAGAATCACGTAAATTACTGCTGATTGTGGAAGAGTAAAGTCAAGAAATACAACCCCTACATCATATGTGAGAAAAAGCCATTCGAACTTCTTTAAGTAAAGGCTGCGTTGTATAGGCGGTAAAAGGGTACTCAGTAACGTCCCAGGAACGCGAACTAAAGGGGTCAAGCTTCCGGGAAAATAAAGGGAGGAATCCAAAGCAGGTGAACGCTTACAGAAGTGCTCCAGAGGAGGACAAAAGGAAGATTATCAAAGAAAGGTCCAACCTCTTAGAAAAAGTTCAAAAGCGCAGACTACACTCGTCATAATTGCCCACACTTGACACTATTTTGTGGACCCTGGAGCGAAGTATGCAAGGAGGTTCACTCCTTGCATACTTAACCTCAAGGTCAACAAAATGGTGTCGGGTTTGTCTGGTGGCACCTGAATGCACCTACGACTCTGCCTTCCTATCGTCTCAAAGTTACGGCATAGTAGTGACGAAGACGTGTTGATGAATTCGACCGCCCATACGATCAGCGTGGACTGTGCATTTACGGTTTATAACTTACCGATAACGATTTGTCCGTGGTCGTATTGATTTGGCAGCTGTACGTCATGCTCGTCCATTCGACAGCCACAATTTTTACAAAGTTTCCTGAAAAGACCCAATCTCATTAAACCTTACTTTCACCTGGGGTTAACTAAATGGTGGAGCTCAATCTCCAGTAATCGAAAATCTTAAATCGAAATGTTAGCGCTGGGGCCCGGCTATGCACAAAAAAACTATAGGCGTAATGTCTCTGAGGGGATGGTAAAGCTGCTGGTCTAGCGCTCAAGCAGGCCGAGCGATCAATATCAAGCTGCTTCTTTAGCGAATGCTCTTTCCTCCCACGGTTTCAGAGAACGAGAAGAGCACCAGTGAGTAGGCCTGGCCCCGCCCCCACGACCATCGTGCATTCTTTCGCTGAAAGGTCAAAACTCACTAAAGATGCGCTGATGCAGAGGAATGAAGCGGATTTAATCGATTGGTTGACAACGAAATGACCGGAATGGTGATGTTTCGAGAGAATATTTAACATTGTGCTTACTCATTCCGAAAATAAGTGCCAACACTTCTGCATGCCCCTCCCTCTAACGACTCTTTACGATCGTGTCCTTTGCCTTCCAGAAAGAACGCAGAAAACGCAGCTTTCACAGGTGCCATTTTCTAATCATAGGCTGGCCCACACGGTTTTGTCTAATCTGGCCTGACCCACAAAGCGGTGGAGCTTGAAGCGCACCCTATAATTATCCCGTGTATAACACAGCATAGGATCGAATTGGGTTGCGGCTCCGCGCTCGCCATGCTGTAGGTCGAATTTAACTCTGCCGCCCGGCGTCACCCACAAAAACAACCAGTCCTTGAAAGCAACAGTTGCCGATCCAATGCAGTGAGCGAATGATCACAATCTTGCGTCCTTCCTTCTTTGTCTGCCCCTCCTTCTTGAGGCGATGAAAAGGTTGAAGAGAAAGGGTGAATGAGTGAACAATGAAAAAGACTGAGGCGCAATCTATCACGAAACAATGTAATATTTCTCGTGCAGACATCTTAATCCACGTGGAACCCCTGATGCAGCCCCGCACAAAAGTACCTTCGCTACTAGTAGGGCAAGTCCCGCGCTGGGAAGAATTTCGGCAGGATACGACGTTTCCCGGAATTTCTTCCCACTAATACGACACCGCAACCCTCTCTATCTCCCATCCTACCCACCACTTTCCGAAAATTTTCCTATTTCCTGCCTTCCTACCACTTTTCCGGGAATTCTTTCAAAAAGTTCTCCAGTTTCTTTTCCAAAAAGTGCAATGGAACGGAAGGTGGGGTGGAGGGGGGGGGGGGCGGTGGGACGCATAGCGCATGTGAAATGGAAAAAACTGAGAAAAGTCAACCATCGAAATCATTTTTTCCCAAAGGCGATTTCAAGCTGCTTCCTTCCGGCGACCAACTAGGACCCCTTCCCGGTGAGAATCCCAAAAGCGCGCGTGCTCTAGCTACTGGGATTTGCACACGCGCTGTGTCTCGTAAACTCTCACATTATTTATCCTTCCTAAGATACCTGGAGGACTGCCTGCCCCCTCCCAGAGTTTCCTAGAAGCGCTCTGAACCATACGAAATGGCGCATCGTATCCCTCGAGCACGAACAGTCTGGGTAACTCAAGAAAGTTGCAAGGGCAAATGACCATGGCACTAGCCCCCGTGCAGCTCAAGGGCCAAGGGTAGCGCGGTTGTGGTAAGTACGGCTGTGGGTGATATATGATTTTCTAGAATGTTTCGAAGGACGAAGAAAGATTACGTGCTGGACTCACCGCCAAAAATGGAGATCAAGCCCAGTGCAGTCACATTTTCTGCACAACGACCCTTGCCCGATTTCGTGCGCCAACACATGCTGTAAATAGGATTGAATTGGGGTAAAACGTTGATCGAATGTGAGCAAAAGGCATAATGCATGGCGCATCCCCAAAAAGAAGTTTGAACCAAAGAGTTCCAAGAAACACACCTGTTTACCTTGCCCAAGTTTGTGTATTTCTGGATTTGTCGGGAAACATGGCGCTGTGACGACGTCCGGTGAACGGATGTCGGCGCTCATCAAATCTGAAAAGGTGCTTTTTTCATATCAATTCATTCATTTATTCCAACGATATAGCGCGGCAGGTCCGGCGTGATCTCCTTTATGGGAACAAGTAAAAATAAAAAGAAAAGCAATACGAGAAGTTGTTACAGGTGAAGTTACTGGCCCAAGTAGTGTCAGGGCTGTTTCTCTTCCTCGAAGTCTTTGTTGAGGCGGCGTATCTATCTGGCTCTATTGTATGTGAACCTTAATGCACTGTCCACGCTGGGCAAATGGGCGGAGTTAAACGTGCGTATCCTCTTTATGGGTGAGGCCAGTGGAAGGGGTGACTATGAGAAAGGTACAGAGGTTGACTGTCTGCACCCGTCTCTATCCCCAACACGAGCTCTTCTCTGAAATGGCCCTCACCGCACAAGAAAAATGTCAGAGAGCGGAGATCGGCGACGAAGGGGGCATTTTGCATTTTCACTGCTTCACTACTTCCAGTTTACAAGTCTCACTCTGGTGAAACTTGTGAACTCTTGTGAAGCTGGAGTAAGCTCGTCTATCCGCCATGTCAACTTAAGAAAAGGCTATCTGGATGGGTCGGCACAACGCTGGGAAGGAAAATGCTCCCCCCGT